AAGGCGGGAGCTGCAGCCCAGGGGAGGGCCCCGGGGAGCAGCCCCCAGTGCAACGCGGCTCTGGGCCTTAAAATACTAGGTCTGAGCTTATTTCCTGCCAAGAAGAACAATCTTCGATAGTTTCAAAGCATTTTTTTTTTCTGGGAAAAGAAAATATTGCTTGCCAAATTCAGTTTACAGTCTTGAGCGCCGTATCTGCAAATATTCACACATTGATTTCACTCACTCCTATGAGCATTCTCAGTGGTTTTCCAGGCAGGACTTGCAGTGTGTATGGACATGATGTGTGTGGGAGGAGAATCTGAGCAGAGCTTCTCATGATGTCACTTGACATCATCCATCAGCCTCAAGACAAAAAAATAAAATTAGCTTCTTTGGATCAGCACAATTAACTTTGGTTACCTTCATTTCCACCCCTAGATAAGCCTTTGTACTATATACTTTGCTCCTCTCTGAGATGCTTTCCTTTACTGTTGTTGAAAATGTGACTTTGTGTATGCCATGACCCTTGTAAAACTTTTCAATTTACCTATCAGTCAACATGTGTGTCAGTCACATGGAGTTTTATAGTTTAAAATGTTTCTAAAATAAAGGTGTATTATGTCAGTGGCATAAATGAAATACTTATTTTGCCTTTAATGCAGCCATCAAACTTAAGTCCTCTGTGGTGCCCCTTGTGCCTAAGTTTCTGTGCTTGAAACTACAGAGTATACAGTTGTAGATATATTTAAATGAGAATATATAAATCTAACACAATATTGCCAGGGTTCGGGCTATATAGGGGCCTTTTTGTAAGCTTCTTCCATCTCAGGAGATGGAGAGGGTCCTGCCCAGTTCACAGCCCAGGTAACTTGCGCTTGCCGTAAATATTTTTTCCCATGGTTCATGCACTGTGTGATATGGATTTATGTGACATTTTTAAGTATTCACATTCTTTTACATTTTTAAAAATTATTTTTACAGAAAAAATAATTCCACCAGTTTATCAAGTTCACCAGAAATGACTACCAAAATCACTCCTCCACAGCCCTAAGAAACAAAAGTAAACATTTTCACACACACACACAAACACACAAAGTGAGATCTTAATGTGCTCATACATTACCAGTAGCTGAAAACTTCAGAGAAGCAGCAAGAATGTAAAAAGCACAGCAAAGCCAAAATTGTCCATATAATGTGCAGTGAGATGGTGGCTTCTGCCCAGCACATGCATCCATACAAAGCCAGCTCCTGGCTGCCTTAGCAAAGGAGACGCGCCAGGGCTGCACCCATTTCTTCAGGGGATCTCTGAGATGCCTCTGAAGAGCAAGAAACCTTATGGACATCCAGGAAATTGTGGCCCAGAGGTCTGTCTGAGTGCCTCCCCTCCACTTACACAGCAGGTCTCTTCAAGAGACAGGACCAGCCGCCCTGTTTTCCTTACTCTAACCATTATAAAGCTACAATATGTAAAATAACCCGGTATTTCATCTTTTAATGGAGCACCCCCTAAAAGGAAAATTCCTGTCGCTTACAGGCAAATGCTACAGGTGGCTGGTGCTCCGCAAAGAGCAATATTAAACTTGCTGGACTAGGTCCATGACCTTGACACTATCAAGGTGATCAGAATATAGCTGTATGTGACACAGAGTGCCTTGTTCAGGCCTCAAGGAAGGAACATACTTATCAGTCCTTCATTCCCCACACCCCTTTACTCTGCAGGCCGCTTCTACACCTCAACACTGCCCTAAAAATAAATAAATAAAAATAAATAAAGGAATGGAACGTTTCTAAGTAGAAAGCATTACTGAAGCAAGCAATTGAACTAAGGAGGTGCGGAAAAGCCTGTCGCTAATCTCAGTCCAAACGTACATAAAACTGGTCAGCAAACACCACGTGCTCCATTTGTCTGCGATGGTTTGCACAGACTGACCCAGGTAGCAAAGTCGGTTCCTCTGCACAGATCGGCATGGGTGCACATTCACACACCGCCCAGCGCCGTGCGCACGGCGTACGTACACCGACTGCGTTCGGTGGAGCCTCAATAAGTGGGTGCAACCTGGGGAAGATGCACCAGATTAAGTACAAAATAAAGGAAGAAAGAAATCAGAAATAAATAAATATATATTAATAGTTTTAGCAGAGTTGGGTTTTTTTTTGTTTTGTTTTGTTTTGTTTCTGTTTTGTTTTTTCTTTCGCTCTGCAGACAAAGAACCCCGCAGGGATCAGCTGCAAACGCCCTTCCCGCGGGGCCGCCTCCCGCAGCGGGGCCGGGGCTGGAAGCGGGGCCGGAACC